TAAGAACTTTTATATAATTCAACTTCTTTGTACCTGACACAGCCTCATTACAGAGCCCATCAGTAAAAAGTAAAGAAGAAAAAGTTAGACCCTCCCACGTAGGAAATGACTTTGAAAAGAAGGCAAATAAGCAATAAGGGAAACGATCAAGGACAAAGCAAGGTGGGGGTCCTCAGAGTTTTCAGAGACCCCACAGAGACAACAGTCACCAGGGTGGAAACGGAAGGTTGGGGAGATACTTGGAAAGTGACTCATGAGAAATCCATGTTGGCAACAGATGCTCATGGGAACTCATGTTGACAATCCTGCAGCTGATGGTTGTTTTTCATTTGTCTCATTTTTCAGTTGGAAGAGGCCGAAAAGTTTGCCAAAACTGTCGTCGATGTGGGAGAGAAAACGTCTGAGTTCAAGGCCAAAGGCTACTTAGCTCTGGGGCTCACGTACAGTCTGCAGGCCACTGACGGTGAGAGGATCCCCACCCCACAGGCAGCTGCCTGGCTGTTGGGCTGGCCTGCCTGAGCAAGTCTCCACAGCAAGTCCCCATAATCCCCTTGTGCCTTAGGAGGGAACACACGCTGGGTCACTCTGTTATGCCGGACTGCAGGGCTCCCAGTGTTGCTGGTCTCTGCTTGGATGGGTAGGAGAAGGGGAGGGAAAGGAGGAGAGGCCTGGGCCCTGGGCACAGGTGCATCAGCCTGGCAGGGCCCATGGTGTGCAGGGGCAGGCACAGCACATCTGCCGTGAGGGCAGGAGAAGCGGGGCCTCAAGACATGACCCATCTGTCAGCCTCCAGCTCTGCGCCTGCCCAGTACTTGGCCTGGCCTGTCATGCGAAGGGGTGTTGGATAGTAGGCCCAGGAACATAGACAAGTTCAGGGCCAGCCACTTCCCGGAAGTTTGCCCTGACTGGTCAAGAACTACCCCTTCTCTGTTTGCACATTTTAAATTTCAGATATTTACACATCCAGTACAGGATGTACTGAGACTGTTGGATGTACTCAGAGTTTTGGTGGAGGGACTTCTGGCTAGAACAGTCTTTATCGTGCTTTGTATACTTAATGAAATTTTCAGTGATAGGCGTGCAGAAAATAGAAATTGATCAATTATTTCCCAAACTGTTACTAGTATTCAACACTTTGTGTGTGAAGTAGACTGCAGATTTACTCCTTGTGTTCACATCGGGGTATTAAAGGTCCTGGCCGTTTCCTTAAACTGGCCTATTCATGACATAGGAACACTGGAGGTGCAGTGGTTAAAACATTCCACTGCTAGCCAAAAGGTTGGTGATTTGAACCCACCAGCTACTCCACGGGAGAAAGATGAGGCAATCTACTTCCATAAAGATTTACAGCCTTGGAAACCCTACAGGGAAGTTCTAGTCTTTCCTATAGTGTTGCTATGAGTCGTACTTGAACTGATGGCAGTGGGTTTGGTGTTTGGTTTATTCATGGCTTCAAACTGGACCCTCAGCCCAGAGTCAGATCCCAGTGCTGGGAGGAGCTCTGAAGGCAACACCATTGGGGCTTGAACCCTTTCATACCATCCCGGTGGAGCCAGTCATTACAAGTCACATGCCCACGCTTTGGGGGACAGATGGGCTTCTCTGTGAAGTTCTTGGCTGGTTTTGTCTTTTAATGGCCTTCATAAGCATGGGGGTATCGAGAGTGACCATCCAGCCTGTTCCATAGTCTGTCCGGTGGGTGTGAGGGCCCAGGCTAAGATTGGGCTTCCTCTCCTCTCTCCAGCAGCGCCTGGCCCAGGGTTGGTTTAAATCTAGGTGAATGGATCATTTTTGTGATGGGTTTTGTGTTTGTCGAAAGCTCCCTGATCTCCCATGCCACTGACTAATTGGACCTTTTCCTAGCTTCTCTGCGAGGGATGCAGGAGGTCCTGCAGAGAAAGGCGCTGCTTGCATTTCAGAGGTGAGTGGGCGTTCATCTTTTCATCCGCCGTATATAATGACACCAAAGTATGATGAGTATAAAAAGAAGGGATATTTATAAAGATTATGTAAACAGTGCTTTACCCCTGGGAGTCTTCCGTCTCGAGCGCTGAACATAGAGCATTAAAACTTCCTGCGTCACTTGTTGCCGTGTGCAATCTACTTTCCTGATCTGTTTACCCGTTCGGGCACATTTTATTCCTTCCTAATCAAGTGCTTTCAGCTAAGAAGATAGACACTTTGTGTGTCTGAGGAGATGGTGCCTTTATTAAAGACATTTGTCATCTGGAAAAGAGGCCATTCTTCTCTAGCCTTTTTTTTTTTTTCAATATGTCAAGCTGCAGATATTGTGTTAGGAAATGAAAAGGCCAGGTTTGAGGACAGTCTCTGAAATTAGATGGCAGGGCAGTCAGCTCAGGAGGCCTCAGGCCCCCGTCCCCACCACGCTCCCTCACGCCTTGTGTTTGTCTGTGGCATCGTGTGAAATTAGCAGAAGGCTTTAGCATGAGATGTAAAACGCTTGAGTGTGACCACGGTCCTTGCCATCCCGTATTTGCTCTCACCTTCCCCCCACACCAGTGCAGTAGACGGGACAGGTAAGGAGGCTGTCTGTTGCAGGTGGGAGACTGAGGCCCAGGAGTTAACAAGAGTCGCCAGCACGATCTAGATACTGAAGTCAGGAGAGAACCCAGGGCTCCTGACTCGAACCCAGTTTTTTTGTATCTACACTGGGAGCCCCGGAGGTGCAGTGGTTAAAGCGCTCAGCTGCTAACCAGGAGGTTGGCGGTTTGAACCCACCAGCTGCTTCGAGGGAGAAAGTTTGCCTTGGAAACCCTGTGGGGCAGTTCTACTCAGTGCTGTAGGGTCACTGTGAGTCAGAATCGACTCAATGACAGTGGGTTTGGTGTTTGATACTATACTGCAGGAGAGTTGGTAGTGCAGCAGTTAAGCGCTCGTCCACTAACAAAAACGTCAGTGGTTCGAACCCACTAGCTGTTTCCCAGGAGAAAGATGAGGCAGTCTGTTTGTGTGAAGATTTATGGCCTTGGAAACCCTGTGGGCCAGTTGTGCACTGTCCTGTGGGGTCGCTGTGAGTTGGAATGGACTTGACAGCAGCGGGTGTGGTTTCGTCTGCTGCTCTGCTCTGATTTGTCCTTGGTACAGGTGTGATAAATCACTCAGATGAAGTCGTGGCCTGAAACCATAGCCCCATGGTGTGAAATCCAGAACTGGTATTGATTCTGTCACCTTAAATATAGCTGAATTATATTGATTTCTTGGAATTGTGGTAGAAAGTTAATTGCTCACACGAAAATTTCATGAGCACCTCTCAGGACCCACTAACCTTTGTTAAAATTCGTTCCTCAGAACTGGGGTTGCCCACAGGCTCGCCATACTGTACACATTCCTTCCTGCCTGTAGGCACTGCCACTTGGTCTCAGGTAGTCTGCGGTTCCTCAGGCTCCTTTCTGTCCGTTTCCTAGCAGGCGGGCCGGGGGCTTCTTCACTCTGCCAGTCTCAGTCTGCTTCAATGGCAGAAAGTCCCGCTGTGCGTCTGCACACACGTCTCCTGGCTCCTTGCTGAGCTGCTGCTGGTGCTCTTCAGCACAGAGTGTGGAAAGCGTTTCTGTGTCAGATGATCTGGAATTTTAAGTTTCCAGTCCTAGTCAGTAACACCCACACGTGGGGTCCCAAGAAAGTGGCCGCCACATCTGTTTCCCTCTTAAATCAGTGCATCGTCCTGGCTCTGCAGAAACAGCCATGGCAGTGGTCTGCCCTGAGCCGCCATCATTCATCACTTCACGTTAGGTAACAGCTGTTCCATTGGCCTGCGTTCCTTTCTGTTCCTTCTGGGCTTAGGCTTTGATACAAAGACATTTTGAAAATATTAGTTCACATGGGAGTAAAGAGTAACAGAATCCCACTAAGTTAAGTGCTTATTGGGGTAGGATAAGAGGTGGAGTTCTGGTAGCATAGTGCCTAAGGCACTTGACTGCTAACCAGAAAGCTGGCAGTTCAAATCCACCAGCTACTCCTTGGAAGGAAGGTTGGGCAATCTACTTCCGTAGTGATACTGCCTCAGAAACCCAAGGAGGGGTCGCTATGAGTTGAGTCCGACTCGACGGCAAATAACAGCAACAACCTAAATGAAACTATGTGTGAAATATAGGATATTTTTCTAGGGAATAAAGTGCTTTTGTTTCCAACACACTCTGACTTGGACGGTAGTGCACACGATCTTCTTCACAAAACTCTTCAAGGGCAAGACTTTAAGAAGATGGCAATGAATTTATCACATTTTCAATGTAACTGAGGATTTTAAACCACTTGGAAAAGTACTTTTTCTACTGTGTATTTTAAATCTTCTCCCTGTATTTCTATTTGTACTATTATTTTGCATTTTTCTTTGGAAAGAGAAAATAAAACAATGTAATTCCAAAAGGAGAAAGAACTGCAGGTCTATCAGGTGGGGATTTTTTTATTTCTTTTTATTTTTTTACTTTTATTGTGGTGAAAACATACACAAGAAGACAGTCACCAACTTAATAACCTCCCCATTTACAGCTCAGGGACATTGATGGCATTTTTCGTGTCATGCCACCATTGTTGCTATCCTATTCCAAAATACTCCACCACCACTGACATAACTCAATGTCCTGAAAACAGAAAACTTCCTTTTCCCCCCCATCCCTGGTCACCACTAATAATATTTGATATATATGTATTTTTTTCCTCCCCCCAACCTATCTAGAAATTTAGCCTCCCCTACCATCACTAGTGGGAGCTCCGGTAGTGTAGTGGCTAAGACACTTGCCTGCTAACCAGACGGCTGGCGGTTCAAACCCACCAGCCACTCCTCAGAAGGAAGGTTGGGCAATCCTACTTCCGTAGTGATACTGCCTCGGAAACCCAAGGAGGGGTCGCTATGAGTCGGGTTTGACTCGACGCACATAACAACAACAACACCATCACTAGTAACCAACAAAAAAAGTTTCCTTGTATGTATAAACCTTTCCTTGACTTTACAATAGTGGATTAATACAATATTTGTCCTTCTGTCATTGATTCATTTCACTGAACATAGTGTCCTCCAAATTCACTCACATTATGCAGTGCTTTGCATTGTTCTTTAGGGTTGCATACTATTCCATTGTGTGTATGTACCATGGTTGGTTTATCCATTCTTTGGTTGATGGGCACTAAGGTTGTTTCCATCTCTTTGCTATTATAAATAGTGCTGAGATGAACATGGGTATGTGTATATCTGTTCTTGTCCTGGCTCTCACTTCTTTAGGATATTTACCTGGTAATAGGATTGATGGATCAAATGGTATTTCTATTTCTGACTTTTTAAGGAATTGCCATATTGATTTCCACAATGGTTGTGTCATTTTACAGTCCCACCAGCAGTGTATGAGAGTCCCAATCTCTCCATATCCTCCCCAGCATTTGTTATTTTCTGTCTTGTTGAACTTTGCAATTAATGCTGGGCTAAGATGGTATCTCATGGTTGTTTTGATTTGCATCTCTCTGATGGCTAATGATCATGAGCATTTCTTTATTTATTTGTTGGCTGCCTGAAATTTTCTTTGGTGAAGTGTCTGTTCATATATTCTGCCCATTTTTTCAATTGGATTATCTTTTTTTTTTTCATTGTGATTTGGGTGAAAATTTACAGAGCAAATACACTTTCCAAATAGCAGATCACATATCCTTTGTCTCATGACATTGACCACAATTTAGCACAGTGCAACATCTCCCCTCCCACTTCCTCCCAATAGTTACATCTTCCCTGTGTCCATCCCTCCTTGCAATCCAACCCCCTGAGCTGTCTCCCTGTGGCTGAGCAGCCCTTCTTTCTCTCATGCTTATTCTTTCCAAGGAGTGTATCTACCTCAGGTAAATGCTCAACTAATATGCCTGTTTATTGTTTGGCTTGAAGCCACAAGCGTGCGTTCAATTCCAGACCTGAAGGGCAGCTAGAGGCCATAGTCTCAGTGGTTCCACCAGGCTCCGTTGGGCCAGCAAACCTGTTTCCCGCTTTTTTTTTTTTTTCCAAATGATTTTGAGTTTTGTTGCACATTGTTCCCTCTGTCTATCCAGGATCTCCTACGAAGATCCTCTTCCAAGTGGTTGACAGTAATAGCCGAGCACCATCTATTTCTTCTGGTCTCATAGTCATGTAGGCTGCAGATCGGATGGTGTACCAGTCACTAGGACTAATTGTTTCCATAAATTTTTTGTTTTCTTCATTCTTCTTGGCTCTGGATGAGGAGAGACCCGTCGTTGCATCTAGATGGCAGGTTGCAAGCTTTTAAGATCTCAGTCGCTACTTGCCACAGTAGGAGGTGGAACAACGTTTTGTGTAGTATGTTATGCCAATTGAGCTTGATGTCCTCTGTGACTATGGTCCCAAGCCCACAGGTTCAACTA